AGAAGCGGGCCAACCACAGAGAGAGAAATAAGACTAGGGGGAAGATGATCACTGATGTAAGTTTCAGGAAATCAGCTGATTTATTTTGAGAGTGTCATCAACCATAAAATGTCCCCCAGTTTGGGGACTGTGCTTTTCTTCTTTTCTTTCCTATAAAATCTGCTATAAACAAATGAGGAACTAGGACATGTAAGCTAAGAATGTGTGGCTGGAGGAGGAGCTTGTAACACATGTGGGTGTGTTGTATGGTGCTGATGACATTAAATGCTTGTTTCCATTTTCACCCTCTGTGATGGAAGATAATGCCACTTATAGGAGGACAAATGTACCGATTTGGGAATTGATTCAAGATTTTAATCATCATAATGATGCTTTATAACCTCAGTTGACACATGGACCACCATTCAAGGCATCTTAATAGAGAAATAATGGATGTGGTTGCTCAAAGCTGCAATCGGATGGGCTCTTGGCAGACCCTTCAGTCAGAGACTATCAGGGTGGAAAGGGATCCCCTTCGGGGGTCCCTGCACACTCACATGTCTCTCCCATTCCTGGGCTCTTCCCCCATCTCTCCTACCTCATCCCCGAGCCTCCTGGGCCCCATTCAAGGCATCTTAATAGAGAAATAATGGATGTGGTTGCTCAAAGCTGCAATCGGATGGGCTCTTGGCAGACCCTTCAGTCAGAGACTATCAGGGTGGAAAGGGATCCCCTTCGGGGGTCCCTGCACACTCACAAGTCTCTCCCATTCCTGGGCTCTTCCCCCATCTCTCCTACCTCATCCCCAAGCCCCCTGGGCCATGGGCGCAGTGGGTATTTAGAAGAGGAAGGGACGTGTGAGGATGCCAGGGATAGACAGTGCCTCTCTCTGATGTGCCTTTGTGAAACTTATTCCATCTGCATCTATAGGTGAGAAGCACCTTGGCTCTCAGTGATCAGGGAATGGAATGGGTAGCGACTCAGCCATTGTCCTTTGCATGCCTCAGCTGAACTCAAGTCAGGTGGATTTCTTTGGGGAGGAACAAAATCAATTAAGAAGACCTTATGGGGGCTACCCTCTGTGCCCAGAAAATGTTCGTGTGGTAGGAGAAACAGGGAGCACACGGTTACTGCCCACAATCTTGAGGGGGCCTGACCTTTCCACGGAGACCTGGACACATTGTCTTAGTAATTTTAAAAGAAGGCAGGGGAGAACCAGGGACTAATCCCCTCACCACCTACTCCCACCCAGACCCCTGTTTCCTTGGAATTTTCTGGGCCCTTAGAGCTCAGATCCCATTTCTGCATCAGGTGCCCTTCCCACAGTCCCCCGACGCCAGTGTCACCAGCCAAGTCCTCTCCTGAAGTCTGGGTTCAACCGAATCTTTCACCTCCTGGAGGACAGCAGCTCAGGAGGCAAACAGAATCCACTTGGGCAAACTATGTCCCACATTTCATCCCAAAGTATTATTTTTAAAAGTTGTAAAAGGGGAGTGCTTATTTTTGTGGCAATGAGACACATTGGAGGGTGAAAAATACAAGTCCAATATGCTCATAGTTATGAAAACACGTCAAAATTTCTTGTTAAATTCTTGAGATTTATTTTTTACAGATCCCACTAATTTTTAAATTCTGTTCTTCTCTGTAAACACTCAGCTTTCCTATTTATAAGCAGGGATAAAATATTCTAGGGTTTGATTCAAAAATATTTAAATTCCCCTTAACATCTGGATAGTACCAGGTTCTTCAGGGTTTATCCTGGACATAGTCCCTATTTTCAGTGGACAAAGTGGCATCATTTGTGTAGAAAGGTTGCCATCTGCTGGTAAATCAGAATATTGTCACTTATGGCAATCTATACAGCTTCCAGCTCTCCCAACATCTCAAGTAAGCAAGGGCCCGCTGTGTGCCCAGCACAGCATGGGGCAGCGAGGAAGATGTGGGTGCTGTAAAAGATAAGCTTATGCCTTCAGGATGTCATGATCTGGTTAAGAAAAATATCTCCACCACTTAAATCTCTCAAAACAAACCCAAGCAATAGATGGAGAAGCAGAGCCCGAGCATTACAGCTGGAAATGATTTTTTGAGAAAGCTGTGCAGTCAGTCCCTTTTAATGTAGATGCTGAGCAATGAGGATGGAAGTGACAGCCATTAAAGAGGGACAGTTTTAGAAAAACCATTATTTTCTAAGGCACAGAGCTGCCTGGGTTAAATCTAAAGACCCCATGGTGGTGGAGTCAGCCCCGTATCTGCTATATGTGCTGGTCTCTCCTCTTCTTCCTCTGTTTCTGAACATGCAGAAGGCTTCCTTTCTTAAAGTCCAGGAGTCGTCCAGGGAGGATCAGGCGACACTAAGTAATTTCTCGCCCTTGTGTCGCCACCTGGTTCTAGGCAAAATGGTGACATAGACGAGGCAGCGCAAGGCCATGGCGGCCCTGTCTGCTGTCATCCCACTCCAGCTGGGCTGTGAGAACTCAGGCTGCCCAGCCCAGGACCCCCACATTGAGGCAGGGGTAACCCTGGCGAGGCCCTTGCCTTCTTTCCAGCTTCCTCCCTGTGAAAAAGGAATGCTAGTTACTTTGGGGATATTGAGAGGGCTAGAGATTTTGTATATTGGCATCACACACGTGTACTCATTGCTGAAAGAAAACCCAAATCCTGGTTAAATAAACATGTTGTAAGATTTTTTAAAAGATGGCACAGCAGAACTGTCACCTCTTGTCACGATGTACTTGGCTGGGAAGGGATGTACTGGGAGCACTGTGTCATTTCAGCTTCCAGAAGTGTAGTCAGTTCTCAGCACCCTTGTGTCTGACTGGCTGGCCTAGCCTTCCAACCTCACTAGAAACAAGCACACGTTCAATTGAGGGCATGCTGATTTAAAATTAAGAGATTGCTATGACTTTCACCTTCAATTTATTTTTAGAAAAGGGATATTTTACTAGTATTTGAAGTGACTTCAGGGAGCTTATCTGGTGAGAGTTGGTGAGAATTGAAAGTATGGCCAGTCATACTTCCAGCCTCCAGGGGGCACAGGGAAGTACGATTTTGGAGAGAACCTAATCTCATGTTTCTGAGGGAGCAGTGATATGACCCATTCTGCATGGGCAGCCATTCCTCTGGTCCTGCGTTGTTTGTCCTGCATGTGGAAGGTTCTTGGAGGTGCAGACCGGCAGCCTGGGCAGGGAGGCCCAGCACTGGGGATGAGAGGGGAGCGGCCACTGACAGGAGGAGCCGGGCAGAGGGAGGCCAGTCCCCTTACTGAGGCCCTGATGGGGGCAGTGGAGGTGGGTTCCACAGAATGTGGCTGGGTGAGGGGCAGGACACAGAGCTGGGAGTGAGGTATGGAGTGGCCAGAAACCAGGTAAGCTGGCTGTCAACCTCATGGGCAGCCTCGGGAGATTGGCCCGAACCCCCAAATCCCTTCTGACTGTGGTCAGGATAGAGCTTGGGGAATTTCCAGAGGAGGGCAGGAGGGCTATGGAGGCAGGGCCCGGCCGCTCCCAAATCAAGAGGGTGTGCCCTATTCATGGGGCCAATTTCTTCATTTGGAATTTGACGTGACATGGAGATGATCTCATCTTTGCTGACTTCCGTGCCTTCTAAGAATCCCTTCTGTCTTTTCCATCCTGTCCTGTCCTCTTGGGTAGACTGATGAAGAGGATGACATGGAGGTAGGACTCTGTCTAAACGTGTAGAATGCCACGTGTGACCTCCAGGGGTGCTGGAGTGCCTAACTTAAGCAGCCTGCAGTGTCCGCACGGTTCTGTGCTGTAAACCATGCATGCACGTTTTCGGGTTGGTTTCTGTGTGATCACTAACCTCCTAACATGGGTCCTTGTCCTGCCGTGTGTGCCAGGGACTGACGGATTGACTGCTTTTCCAAGCTGTCCCTGAGCCCCAGGCCCTCTCCCGAGTGGCAGTACCAGCACACCTCTACTGCGAGGAGAGTGGTCAGGGAACTTTCCCTCCAGCCCTGTCTGAGCCTGTTGGCAATACAAGTATGAGAACTGGGTTCTAGAACAGCCACACGAAGAGCCCTAAAATCAGAGAGGAGGTGGGGCAGTGGCTAAGAGCCAGGCCAGACCAGCAGTTCAGCAGCTTTGGGTAGCTCTGACTTGTGCCCATTTCCTCCATTGGCATCCACTGGGTCTGGCGGGATCAGTGTGTGAGGGGTGGGAGGACAGGGGCTCCTCGTCTAGGTCCAGATGTCAGAACCAGAGTCCAAGTCAGAGCTGGCTGGCCTGGAAGGTGGGGAAGGAGCCGTACACAGATGTGCCAGCCACAGATGTGTCCTGGGCTCTCTGCTGCTATGGCTGAGAAGCTGGATGAAAAAAGGGAGCCCAGATCTGCAGAGCTCCTCTCTGCAAATGGGAATCTAACAGACTGCTTGTCTCATCCAGATGTTGGGCACTGTGTGCCGTGGCGTGATGTGCTAGCATACCTCTTATAAAACATCTGTGTCCTGGCTGTTCAGCTGGAATTAGAGAATATTGTGTGCACATATGCTTGTTTAAACAACTATATTTTTGACGCCACCAGAAGTAGTAACTGTTACCAAACTCAGTTTCAGCATGAATTTCTGATTCGTGTTCTGATGTGGTGCCTGAACCAAACCCCCTTGGGTTCACTTAATCTTGGAGGGCCTCAGTTCCCTTCTCGGTAAAGTGAGGTGGGACTAGATCAACTCTTAATCTTGTCTCATTCTGTGGCTGAATCCCACTTTTAAAATTTGACTATCATAAGTGATATGAAAGAAATTTTTAACTGCTTCCTGACACTAAACTTTAAAAAACTTAAAGCTCAATATATTTAATTAACACATTAAATATATTGATCCTCGTATCAGGGCTTTGGCATTGGAAACGGATTTGGTTTCTGAGTTCTTCCCAGAGCTGATTTCGGTTGCCCCTGGTAGGCAGTCACCTAGGGAACTTGCAGAGAGCCGAGATGCCTGCGACAGCAGAGGGATGGGCGTGGCCCCTCTGGACCAGGGCTTTCTTTCTGATAAAAGCACTTCCGTGTTCACAGATGTTTTGTCATTATTCATCCACAACCTCGGTGACTGTGTCTGCAGGATACACACAAACCAAAGGCCAGGGAAGGACAGAAGAGAAGGTTCCTCAACTAAGCATTTTATAGACTTGAGTTGGCTTTGGGGACAGCAGCTAACACCATCATCCCCTTTCGTCTTGCAGTCCGGCAAATTCTCCAGCAGTTCACCAGCACCTGCGAGCCAACCACAGGGCCTGAGCTATGCCGAGGACGCCGCTGAGCACGAGAACATGAAGGCTGTGCTGAACACCTCGTCTCCGGCCATGGATGATGCCACCCCGGTGCTGGGCGTCCGCACACGCAGCCGGATGAGCCGAGGTAACTCCGGGCTGGGTGGGGCATGTCTTCCCAGGAAACCACCCTGTGGGGGTCTGGTCCCCATCACCGGGTACAGGTTCCTGTTCCTGGGTTGTGGCTGCAAAGGGCAGTCAACTCCCCAGTGCTGATGTAGCCACACATGTCTTTACTCACACCTTTGTCACCTACGTTCATTAATTTCATTTCAGAAAAAAACAGTCCCAAGAATGTAAATTAATTTAAACAAGAGGAATTATTACTGTGAATGAATCTTCATAGGTTAAAATAGGGATCAGTAAATACAGCCCCAGGCCAATTTCGGCTGGCCGCCTGCTTTGTAAATAAGGTCTTACTGAATACAGCCACACTTGCTCGGTTGTGTATTGTTGGTGGTGCTTTTCCACATAGTGGCAGAGCTGTGTGCGTGTGATGGAGACCACAGGCTTTTGAAGTTGTGTTTGTTACAAAAAGTAGTGTAGGAAGAGGAAATGTCTTCTTACAGAAGCATATTTCCCATTTTATAGAAGAGATTTCACAGGAAGTTCATCCTGGTATATTAAAATAGCATCCTATATAATAAAAGGCTAATATGCAAATTGTCCCTCAACTGGGAGTTCCACTGGGACTTCAACCAGAAGTTTGACCAGGGGGTGGGGCCAGCTGGCTGGCCAACTGCCCACGGCCCCTCCCCCCAGCTGGGCCAGCCCGATTGGCCCTGATCAGGGCGGGCTGGCCCAACCCCACCCATACATGAATTCATGCACCAAGCCTCTAGTTGATTTATAATTCTTTAACATGACTTGGGAACTATGTTTTTGTGGGGCTTTCATCTTGCTTGTCAATAGGCAGATGTTTCCATGCCAGACCTGGAGTAATTAATAAATGTATTTTTTTGGTCAGCAAGCAGAGAAGTGTACCAAAGAGAATTTGTGTCAATTCCCCCTTTGCTGGTTGTAGAGGACAATCTTGCTATGAAATTTCAAAGATAAACTATGTTTCAAAATCCATTGATTTCTATTCCACTGAATGAGAAGTTGGGGTTAGTTAACATTCACTAGGCACATACAGCCACGGATAGAGAGCTGACATTACTGGACATACATCACTGGATACCTGTGATATGCACGTCACCATGTGGCATGGGGTCTGGGGTGGGGAGGGGGTCTGCCCTCCTGTGACCTGGCAGGTGGAGGGACGCATCCAGGCAGAGAAAGTTAAAGGGCACAAGAGCACAGCTATGGTACAAGGTATTATGACATAAGTGCCCCAAGTATGGGTTTTAAAGAGTACAGATCCCAAAGGGTGGTGGCTGGAGTGGTGCGCTGTGCATTTTCTTTGGGTTCATCGCATTCCCTGTTTAATCCTTCAGGATCCGCTAGTTCATGGACCATGGGAACCGATGACTCACCGAATGTCACGGATGACGCCGCTGATGAGATCATGGACCGCATCGTCAAGTCAGCCACCCAGGTGCCCAGTCAGCGAGTGGTGCCCCGGGAAAGGAAGCGCTCCCGGGCCAACCGGAAATCTCGTAAGTACCTTTGAGTTGGGGTGAGGGACTCGCCCACAGGTACCTGCCCTCTAGTCCTGTATGACCGGGAAGGGCAGACTCAGAGGTGGGCTCCAGGGAATTGTCACTGGTGCCAGGAGGCCCACTTGTGCTCGTCAGCAAAAGATTTCCTACGTGGCAGTCAGCGTTGGCCTGTGGAGGGTGCTGCAGTCAGCCCTGCCCAGGGTAGTTGCCATTTCTGGCCAGGCCTCCCTCAATTCGTACTTTGTCCCTAGGAAGGTTAAAAGGCCCTAACATGGCTCTGGCAGGCGCTGGTGGGCTCAGAGCGGCCCATTGCCCAGCCCTGCCCGGGATGCTTTGCCAGAGGCTACGAGTATATTTCTGCCTCTCTCCCAGCATCAGGGGCCACTTTCTGGGCTGGAGGTGGTTCCCCTAGGGGTTCGCTGCTGCCGGTGAACATGACCAAGGTAAAAACCAGTGATTTTATGGTCAGTAGGATGGTTAAAATACTTAATGTTAGCCTAGGTTGACCAGTTATTTTTTCTTTTCCTACCAAATAGAGGATTCAACTAAATCAAAGCAACTGACTGTCTTTTTAGTTGGAGCCCAATTCCTGCTCCTGCCCAAGTGGTGGGTGTGGAGTTGCCTGTGTAGGCACCATGCCAACTCTCATAGGATTCGCACTGAGTCGGGAAGCAGGGTTCCTCTCAGTTCTTTGATGTTACTTGTGTTGGCTGTGGCGCTTGTGTGTGTTGAGAGTTCAGCCCCCAAGCTTTGGCCTCTGCTGGTCACACAAGTGGCAGCTTGAGTCTTAACCGGTTCTGCTTCCTGGAGTAAGGGGTGATGACTAGGAAAGGGATTTATGACTTGTCACCAGAAGGAAGGCTGGTTCCCTCCCCACGTCTAGACTCCCAAAAGCAACACGAGAGTGACTCCAAGTAGGCAGGGAGTTTAGTTAGAACTCGAACTCAGGGAGCCCCCGGTGGTGCCACCCTTGAGGTTCACACAGGAGGTGACGGGGCATATGTTGGACCCCGTGATTCTGTGCGACCCATTGGCACGCTTGTTTCCGGGGTAAAGAACACTAAACCAAACGACTGATTCAGAATCTGGGACTCGGGCACAGTGAGCTAGAGCGCTCAGGTCTGAGGCCTGGAGTGGAATTACAGGGGCCTCCGCTGCGCATCTTCCCTGACAAACTCTTCTCCAAAGACTTGGGTTTGTCCACCTCCCCCCACCGGCCTGTGTGATTCCAGCTGCTCCAGGCCGAGGCAGCACCTCCCTTTCTCTCTGCCTGAAGGGGATGAAATAGTATTCCCGTGTAGTTTTAACTGACTTTTCCCTGCATACTAGGAAGTTGAGTTGACTCTCTTGCCATTTGCATCTCTTCTTTTGTGGATGGCTTGTCCATATTGTTTGCCTGTTTTTCTCTTGCTCTTTTTCATAACAAAATCTATTTGTTAAATTGCTTTTTAAAATGAAACGTATAAAAGGCTTTTGGAGATCTTCCGTAGATCATATTTTCGTATTTGCCTTTATTGCCCCCCGATTACTTACTTCAGTGAACTGGTAACCAAATGGCAGAAACTTGGTACTGAGTCTCTCCTGGTCTGGCTACAGTGGGGAACCTCAGTGCAAGAATCACCCGGGAGGATCTGGGAAAATCAAGTGTATGTGTTGAGGGTTGCAGGGACCATGGGTGGGGAGTAGAGAAAGGATGCTAAGCCTGGGTGTGCCCTCACAGAGATGGGCAGGGGTGAGCCAAGAACCTCAGAGACAGACTACATGACACAGTGGCCTTGCCAGTCCCCAGAGTCTCAGGCCATCCACGTCTGTGTGGGCAGCGTGTTGGTCCTGCCCTCTGGTCTAGAGAGAACCAGCTTCTTACAGAGACACTTGATGTCACTGGGAACAATCAAACATCCATAATTAATTTCCCACTCCAATCTGGCCAGAGAGATATTTTGCCTATTTTTGTTGTTGACATAACATACTATCCTTTGGTATCGTTTCCATTCCAATCTTATGCAAAACAGCCGTATATTCTTTTTATTTAGCCAAGGACATTTCATCCTGTGATGCAGTGACTTCAACGACTACAGTATGGCATGTATGTAAATGTTTATCTGCAACAGGTTTAACTTATTAGTAATGGCACAGTCCGCAGACATTTAAGACAGGGGGAGTTACTTTGATTTCCATTTAAAGGAATGATAAACTCCAGCTTTTCACAAGAGGTAAAGGGATAAGAAGACAATAATTTGCAAAATCAACATGAAGTTTTGCCTTTTGGGCTCCACCCTTTTATTTGATTGTTTAATGGTGGCAATGAGGCAAGTGGATAATGAATACTCAACATATTTGGGCCGTAGCTCATTTGGCCAAAGACAGTAATAGTCCAGCTATAGCAGGAAACTAAACAGGATCCATCCCATAACCTAAAAATTTATGACCTGCGAGCCTTTGAGAATCCTCTGAGAAAATTCAATGTTCGCTTTCTTGTTGGCGCTAGTGGCAGGGCCTACACACACCCAATGCCCTGCGAATGCCTGGAACATACAGCCAGTAGGGACACATCAAAGGCACCTTCATTGCTTTGCAGGCTCCCACGGCTCGGTTCTGTTGCTTTCCCAGCTGGTGCCTTCACAGTCTCATGAAGCAAAATGTTTCTAATTATGTGGTTGGGTTCTAGCCTGTGGACTGAATGGTCAGGCACACGTTGGCCAAGGCCCTCCAATCGACTGGTGCATCAGACAGAGGGAGGATGTTATCTGAGTTTTATGGTTGTCTTGTTTGGTTCTTTCTTTTTTTCTATTTTGGTTTTTCTTTTCATAATATTGAGGCAGGTGTTTTGTCCCAGAGCTACTTGTCCTCTTAGGCCTCCTGAATGTTGACCTGCCCTAGAAATCCCTGAAGCTGACCAGCACTTGAGGTTTCCTTACAGGTATGATTCTGCAGGATGGACCCCCGTGACTGGGGTGGGGAGGGGGCTCCTCCCCAGCATGCTTTTCTCTTGGACCCGCCTTCAGAAGAGGGTCTCCACCCTGCTGGCTGCCTGCATGGTGCCACTAGCCCAGATGATCACAGAACAGATCGGGGATCAGGGACTCATAGTCTGCTTTAGCTCTTGTCCCCAGGGTCATGTCATGGTTGAGAGAGGCAGGTGCCCCTTCTCTGCTGAGTTTTCCTCCAAGAGACAGTCTGGGCCCTATTGCAACATGACCATGGAGTTTGGGGCTCAGAGCTATGTTTCTCTAAAGATGTGATCACTTTGATGTGACCTACACGTAATCAACCAGTTTCTTAGTTTGTTAGGATCATAATGGTGGACACCTTTATAGAAAAAATAATTTCCCGTGGGCAGAGCCAGAAGTTTGATTCCAGGGCCCGTTGGGAAAGGAACGCAGAACTCAGATTCTCTCTCTCGCCCTGACTCATCCCTCACACCACCAATCCCCCACAGTGTCTCTCGTGACGCTGTGGCATTCCTCTCCCAGGGGAGAGGAATGCACATTTGACATAACTAAAATCTTATTTTATTTCTCTTACAGAATATTGAGGGGTGTAGCCAGGCTATCTATTAAGTAGCCGTTCATGGAGAAAGAGAATGATCAAATCTGAAAAATTATTGAATCTGTTTTGGGGAAAACATGATTAATGTCTCACAAGATTAGATTCTGTGCACAACTTAGTTCAGTTTTCTCTACTTTTCCCAAGTGGTGTTTGAAAACACCCAGGAATTTCCCCCACTAATCCCATTTTTAAAATTTTCTCTGCATTTAATTTAAATAGTTCTTCCTTACTTACCATGAGCCAATTTTACATTTACATAAAATTTATATTTATAGCGCAAGATAACAATGGCCATAAGCCAGAGGCTTTAACACTAATGCTCTTGGGATACAATAAAATAAGATGTTGGAAGGAAATAAAGCTTCCTCAATCCAACTTCTGTCTTCTCAACAACAGCATCATTGCTGTTTAGTGAGCATCTAATTATTCTTCAGAAGCATTAAAGCTGGTCTGATCCCGCCACCAAAGGCAGCTGAGGGTGCCTACCCAGGTGGACAGGACACAGGACAGGAAGATAAATAGAACAAGCCCATGAGAAAACCAAGTGTTGGATTGAGAGTTGTTATGTTTTATTTTATTGATTGATTTTTTTAATTTATGGAATTTTCAGAGAGAGAGAGAGAGAGATTTGTTGTTCCACTCTTTATGCATTAAACCTTGGCATATCAGGACGATGCTCTAACCAACTGAGCTACCCGTCTAGGGCCGAGAGTCATTACATTTTAGAGGGTGACTCGAGTGCTTGTGCATGTTGGGAGGAGTGCCACCATCAGTGCCCCTTGGGCTGCAGGAGCAGAGGGGCCAGAACAAGATGGAGCCCAGTCAAACGTCCTGGCTCAAATCCTTCTCTCCCACTTACTGTGTGCACTTGGGCCAGGGCCTCGATCTCTGCCATTTGTTCACTTACTGGGGAAACGACACTACTCATCTCATAGGCTTTCCACAAAGATCAAAAGGAATAATCCATGTTCTGGCTCATGGAGTCGTTTGTGGCCACCATTGCCATTATTCTCAGATTCAACTCATCTCAGCAGTCGCCTGAGAGCACTTTGCAGGATTAAAATTTGTCTTCACTTCTAGGAGGGTGGGAGATGAGAAAAGGAGAGTGGGTTTTGTGAGTCCCAGACACCCCTGTGCTGCCTGTGGAGGCAGAGGCGCCCTGTGTCTGAGCCCAGGTTCCCACTGCTGTCAGGGCTGCGTGAGAGCTGTCACAGTGCCTGGGGCAGAGCGGCTGCAGGGCCAGCGAAGTGACCCGCACCGTGTATGGAAGAGCTGCGAGGCAGACAGGGATAAACATTGCTGAGGTCTGTTCTCTGTTAAGCAGCTGAGGAAGGGAGGCAGCCGCATGTGACAGGCTGCGCAGCTCCAGCCAGAGCATTCAGAGGGAAGCAGGAACAGGGAGCGGAGGGGGGCCCAGACATTATCTTATCAGACCTAAGCAAGCACTTAAGAAATCCCCTGTGTGATGGGAGACTTGTACAAGTCCCACATCCCACCAGCCCCATCTGCTGGTCCCCTCATTCTCTCAGCACCCCTTCTACCCACCTTACCCCCGCCCTTCTTTGCTTTCGGAGTGAGAGCCAAGTCCATGTCTGGACAGGTCTGCAGATCCCTCGCAGCACGTCCCTGTCAGTCCCCTGCCTCCCTGCCAGCAGTACTTGGCTCAGGTCACATTTGCTGAATGAATGAGTGAACTGGTGAGCAGATGGACAGATGAAATGACACCCAAAGAGCCCTTTCTATATGTGATCTGAATTGGGGTACAAACCTGATTTTAACTGATTGCCTTCATTTCACACCTTCCAGCAGTAACATGAATTAACTTTGAGTCTAACAAAGGAAGGATTCAGATTCTTAAAGTCTTTTGGGGGCCTAATATATTCATGTTTATTGGGTTATGTTCAGTATTTATTATATTTATTGTGAGAGAATTTATCTAAATTGTCATGAAGGCCTAGAAAGTAGGATTCTACAGATGGCACAGATTTTTCTAGGAAGATTCTCTTTTCAGGAACACATCTGGCAAGCAAAGGGACCTTAGCCTAACTCTGGCTTTCCCCTGCAGCAGAGAACACACACGCCATGGGGAAGGGCTGTAGGAGGGTCCCGGGGGCCTTGCACATCAGCCCTTTGAGTAGATGGTGAGGCCAAAGGCACAGCCTCTGGTCAAGCAGGAAGGTCGGCAAAGCACCGGTTAGACTTTGTTCTGTTCTCCGAGCTGCCGCAGCCAAGCTGGCCCATGCCCATCTCTATTACATCAGTGCACATGCTCTAAGGTGCCAGGGTTCTTATTCAAGTATTCCCTTATTCAAGTATTCCCAAACACTACAGTCACAGGACAAAAGCCAGTGTGTGGCCGGGAGTGTGAAGGCAGCATTCTAAATGCGATCGTGGGTGAAATGCCCACCCGTTCACAGAGCCTCTGTCATCATTTGGCCAAGCATGTTTACCCAAAGGCACAGAGAATCTGGTCATAGGCACATGTCCGTGCCGCCTCTGCAGCTAATGAAATGTAAGATGCTGCATGGACTTCTCCAGGCAGAATTCCGTATCTTGGATGAGAGGTCCTAGTAGTCCTTGTCAGGAATGAGAAACATTTTATCTTCCTTTCTGCCATTAAAATTATCTTTCTTTAACCAACACTTGAAGGAGTGTTTAAAGGACATAAAAGGTTATTACAAACTAGTATTTTTATGGCTGCCCCATAGAACAAATTCCATTACTCAATTAAATAAATGCAGTCTGCCTCCAGCCAAGGCTCTGGAGCCAAACATTTTGTCTGGATGAGTTAGACACTCAGTCTGGAGCCCCAGGGGCTGCGTTGGGGAGTGGGGGCCGGTGCAGGAGCAGCTGCAGATGGGTAGCTTGGGGCCCAGAGCTGGGCTTGGGATACAGTAGTGTGTGTTGGTGGCATGGTACAAGTCTTTGAATCTCTATAAAAACCCACACTTGGTGTCTGAGAGCCTTCCAGAAGTGTGCTGATTCTTTGAGTGAAGGGCAAACACATAGTAGGTTCTCTATAAACCATTTGTTGATTGACTAATTGATGGATTAGATGTTGGTCCCAGTTCAAAGTGCTGATCCCTGGGAGAGAAGACACCATTTATTCATAGATATTACCCCTGTTCATTCCAATAGGCATGGGTCTTTTAGATCCTTTGTCCACAGGCTACATGGGCTTTTTCCCAGGGGATCATGGGGAGACATGGAATGGGGGGTATTACCTGCAGACATAGGAGGTGGGGCCCTGCCTATGGAGAGGCCTCAGAGGAGGCCTCGGAGGATACAGGCCCATGGTCACGGAGCAGACTCAGGGAACTGGGTCTGGCAAGGGAAGATGGGAAGGAATAAGGGTGAGCTTTACTGATCAAGGGCCTGCTCTGCTCATCTCAGGGACTCTGGTGGATTTAGGATTTAGGATGGAAGGTGGATCTGTAACATGCCTCTTCTGAACATAGACCATATCCTCCAAACTTTGTATGATCTTACATATAGGATAGACCAAACACAATTTATAAATGAAAAGAAGTGTAATTAGGCAGCCTTTCAAAGGAAAGGCCTGGTTTTGAAAGAGGTAGCTGTCTACTCATTCACTCTTATCCAGCCTGTATTTTGATATAAGAACTGATCGACACTGAGCAATGGGACAATCCATGATGCCGGGCTACACAGAGGCCAATTCCAGGTCCGTGAAATGCGAGTGTTCCTCGACGGCCAGGTGTGCGCCCAGTGAAGGGGTCATTTGGTCCTTCCTGAGCCTGTTTCACAGAGAACATCCACCAGAACTACCCACAAACATTTGGCAATTTGCTTTGTGACAGCCAGCCTGCAGGGGATTCCTGGTTATTCTCTCCAGAGGTGCTTTGATGAGTGGAGACACTCACAGAGACTCACCCTGACTGTTACCCGTTCCCCTGGGGTCTGTTGACACCTTGCTGTCCAAGGTCGTGGGTTTGTGGGGTGATCTTATCTGATTGGCATCATTGGAACTTGCATTTTTCTTTGCTCCGTGATTACTTTTCCAGCTCTGATCCATTCCTTATGCTGGCCAGAGACTGAGCTCTCAACATGCCACCTGCCGTTCACAGTTTGCACTTTGTAAGGATGAGCCTCTTCTCCCTTCTTTCCTTACAAGGCCCCCCTCCACTGGACCGTGCAGGTCAGATTCTGTGCCATCTTCAGGTCAGCCTTTTGCAGCCCCAGCCAGCCAGCAGGGCGCCTCAGCAGGAGCCAGATGGGGCTGAGCCTCTGGGAGCCCAGTGACCCCCTGGCCTGGAGTCCTTGGGGAAGAGGGCTGATGGACCGCATCCCTGTGCCTGGCTGCTAATCCCTCCTTCTCTTCTCACTCCTTTGATCCGCTTATGCACTGCAGTACGAAGGACCCTGAAGAGCGGCCTGACTCCAGAAGAAGCCCGAGCCCTGGGCCTGGTGGGCACCTCGGAGCTGCAGCTGTGACCCAGGGGGCACCCTAAGAAGTGTGCCTGAGCAGAGTGCATGCTCCTGCTGGACGGAGCCCCTGTCAGCATTAGCATCGAAAGGTCTGAAAGAAAGTGCCCATCTCTCGGTGGCGCCACGGGGCTGTGTTGCGTGCTGCGCGCTGACATGGAGTCTCCTTCCTGTACTTTCTCTTGTTTCTGTGACACCTGGTTTAGTAGTTCCAAAGTGAGACACCTTTTCTGTGCAAGGAACGGACCTTTTCCGGAGCAGATCACTCTGTCACAGTGACTAAGGGCATATGAGGCAGTTGGATTGGATTCACAGCCTGGGTCTCTCCACACCACCAAAGTATCCAGATGTAAAACCCAAACTGTACACAAAGGAAAACACAGGCTGTTGACCAGTTGTGGATTTTAGATGTACTAAATGTTTATATGGATTCATAAATGTACACCATGTTTCAGATACTAAATAAATGGAGTTTAATGTCACAATGAGAAACTTTTCTTCTCTTGGCTTTAGGACCTTAAATAGCTCAGTTTTGCCTCTTTCTGAGTCAGCAAAACCTCTCCCCAGGTTCACCAGGACCCTGGCTCAGAACCATTTCAGGCCCCGGGATGGCAGGGGCGGTGTTCCAGCTTGGTTAATAGAATGAGGAGCCTGACAATGCGCTCTTTGTAACTCCTCATTAATTAGGCATCATGCTAGCGATAACCTTACTCATGTGCTTTGCTTTGCTCCATAGCGATGTGGAAGCAAAAATGTAGAGTAGCATTTTAAAAATCTGAACTATTCTGTAACTCACTCATTTGCCCCTTTATGTAAAAATTCATTATCTCAAAAAGTTTACTGTCACCAAACGAAAATGAAAATTTTAAGCTTTGAGTGCAGAGAATGACAAATGGAGGCCTGGGCACTCAAGGACCCGTCATCAGAAAACAAGGTGTCCGGAGTGGGAGGCGCCGTGGGGAGCTCCTGGCAGTGGCAGAGCCACACTGAAGGGGCTGCTGCCCAGGTGGTAGCTAAGCCCCAGAAGTCCCTCCATCCAAGGTCGCATGGCTTCCGTGAAGAGCCTCTGCCTCAGAAAGCAGGGAAAGGTAAACCCCCTGCAGCAGGTAGTTGGGGGGTTGAAAGACAGTCGGGTCACTAATGCTACCTTTGCCTTAATTTCAACACCTCTGTGACTCTATTCCTGAGTCTGGGCAGACGTGATTTATAGACAATCTCAGTTGTGTTGTCTGAAGAGCCAAAGATCATAGATTCACCCCACATGCCTCTGTGTCTGTCTCCCTTTTCTGCACCCCCACTCACTGAGCCACAGGGGGCTCTTTCCAGCAGGTGTCTGTCATACGTGGTGAGTGTGAGCACCCCAGGACAGCCCAGGACCTGCAAGAGTTAGGTCTGCATGTTACAGACAATTGAGTTTACTTAATCACTTCATTACAAGGTATTAGGTGTTAATGTTTGTTTCCTTGTGGTTGTAAATAACGTGTTATATTCTGAATAGGGTTTAGTGGTTTGTGTTTATTTGCTTTGGAGCTGGATGCAGACACAGAATACCTGTGTCACTGGGATCATGATGTACGAACAAAAGGAAGCCGCATTTCTCTTGCACTGTTTAATGAACAAGCACTTTGATGCCCTTATAGGGACCCTAGGTATTCTGCTGAATTACTGCTTTAAAACAGGGATGGGAACCTTTTTTCTGTCAAGGGCCACTTGTATATTTATAACATCATTCGCTTAATATAATTTACTTGATATAAGTTTATATTGCTATGAAAAAAGCTCCTAGATTTATTGAATTTTGAGTCCTGCCTGTGGTTGCCTTGGCAGGGCCAGACCAAATGATTTTAAGGCCCAAGGACCGGATGTTCCCCACCCCTGCTTTAGAATAAAAGTCACATTTGGAAGGAAGTGACTGAAAAAATCTAATGTTAGTTTTATCTTTAAAATAAAAAAATCCTGAGAGGAAGCAAGCAAGCTAAAAACTAAGTTCTTGGTTACACCAAACGTAAAGAGGATCTCTTTTCATTGGGAACTTGGTTTAGTACTTTTTAGTGAAACTGAAGGATTTTTCCTGTTGCTCATTGCCTCTCTCTTGCTGCCACTCACTCAGGCTTCCTCTATTAGTGTTGTTTGACTCAGGAAGTTAAATTTCTTTAAAAGAAGCATTGAAGTGAATGGTACGTTATAATTGTGAGATGCCATTGCTAATCTTGCTGGTTATCCCCACAAATATCTTTGTGCCTAATTCTTAATTTGAGTTGAAATTACTGCTGGTAAAGAAAGACAAATACTTTTCTGTTAAAGATGCCTGCGTTTGGGTTTCTTTGGGAATTGACATAATAATATTGATGGCGAGTTCCCAGTTTTATTTTTAAAATATATTTTTATTTTATTTTTTTTACAGAGAGGAAGGGAGAGGGATAGAGAGAAACATCAACGAGAAACATCAATCAGATGCTGCCTCCTGAACACCCCCTACTGGTGTTGTGCCCACAACCAAGGTACATGCCCTTGACTGGAATCGAACCCAGGACCCTTGAGTCCGTAGGCTGAAGCTCTATCCACTGAGCCAAACCTGTTAGGGCAGAGTTCCTGTTTTTAAATGGCCTGAAACACGAGTTGTGAAGACAGTAATTAAGTTGTTCAATAAGCCTACATTCTAGAATCCCAGCTCTGTTTCAGGGGTCGTGGGCCAGAGCCACCTGAGGAAGATGTGCCTCAGGAACCAGGCACTTAAATGCACCCCAAGAGCAATCTGTACCTCCACCTGTATCCCGAGGGATGGCCTCGTTTGCAAGGCGACGTAGTAAAGGTGAGCTGCTTTTCCATCTTAATTTTGTCAATAGTCTGTCCCTTGCAGCTTTTGCTTGAGGGATGAGGCCTCTCTCTTCGTTGGATTTAAACTTTCTGAGGGCTGTTTGTGTTCCTGTCTTGGTTAGTCTACACAGTATTCTTTGCCAGTCTTTATGCCGTGAAAAAAGAAAAGGGTAACTTAGTAACAGGCGCGGAGAAATGTCCTTTCTAGGATGATCACTCCTGAGATCTGGAGGGTGTTCTCAGCCAGCCCCACATGGTCCCTGGGAGGGCAGATGAGCTGCTTGAAGATGCAGAAAACCTGCTCCTTCACTTCTCTCAGCTTCCCACGCTGGAGACTGTGGAGAGGCCTAGAGGCGGAGCTGCTTTGTTGCCTCTGACTAACATGTGGGGCAGAGCCCAGGCCCTGGTACAGCCCATCCTGCAGCCAGGACGAAGGCCCCTTTCCAAGGTGAGCAGTGGCGTGCTGACTCATCCCTGTGTTTCCCTATATATTGTAAACATATATAAAGTAGGAAAGGATGCTGTGTCCTAGAAAAGGGGTGTCTTAAGTAAATGTCTCTGTTCTTTGTTGAGAATAGTATCCTATAAAAAGCTGTTGCAGAACTATTCTGAGAACTGTAATGTGGAAAAAAGCCACATAGGGTCTGAGAGGGCTGCCCACATAGAGCTTTCTGCATTGCTGGGTGTTCTGTGCACATGCTGTTCAGTATGGCAGTCACTATATGTGACTGCTGAACACTATGGTGACTAGAGACAAGGAAAAAATTTTAAATTTTAAGTTTCAATGTCTACCTGTGCTTAGTCGCCCTGGTTTGAGAGAACACACCTTTGTCCGTGCTTTGTTGCTGTTTATTCATTTTAAATCTAGGAGGTTTGCGTGAAATGTGTGTATAAAATTGCTTTAGACTGCCATTTGCTCCACCAGGAACTTCAGTGTCTGAGCAATGATGTCCACTCCCTGCCTACACCGAGTTCTGAGTTTGGAAATTCTTGTCCTCAAAGGAGAATTCTGTGATTGATGTTGGGTGCTGGTAAATCTGCACTCTTCTCTCTGGAGGCATTTTGCCATTCGGTCTCGTTTTGTGATTCCAGGATGATGTATTTTGAGGTACAGTTGCTTTATAGTAGAGCCTATTGCCATTTTAATCACTCTACTTTCAAAACATCAATCTCACGGGTGAGTTTATTTCAATGTGACCCACTCAACATACATTCGGTCTGAACCTGTCTCTGGGTCGCTCCCCTCCTCCTCCAGGGCCAGCTTCCTGGGTGGGCATCACACTCAGAAGGGCCTCGGTACCTGGTTTAATGCTCTCCTGTCACTGTTTTGTAGTATTTAATTTTATCTTTGAATTTGTGTGTTTTAAGTGAAGTCTGATGAAGCAAAGGAGCACACACCTGAGCAAAGGGGATGGTGCAATACATGCGTCCACCCTTCTGTCGTTCACTTACAGCTCTGAGATGCCTGTGAGCAGAGAATTCCTGTGGGCCCACCGGATGGGAGCGTTCAGAGATTCAGAGTACAAGGTAAGCCTGTTATGAATACAAGCCTATTATGTGGGGGCACTGAGCCCCCAAAGACCTTACTTTCCATTTGAGCAGAATTGATTCAAATGCAAAAAAGTAGGTAATGGTATTCTAAGCAGCATGAATGACCACGGAACCCTAACATATTCTTTCTTACTCATGGTAGTATCAGCCAACCACTTATGCTGAAAAATGATGACACAGAAGAAAAGGAAAACATATGGGAAAACATAGTTTCTTTTTCTTTCAGAACTTCCTTATTCATCAGTAAGTTGAAAGTGTTGATAGAATGTGTACATATCAAGAAGTGAAATGATAACATTTGAGCTAGTTTTATGCAGTGTTTCCACAGTTCTGGTAAGACTACATATGCACACAGTATGTATACATAAGTATGAAATACAAATTATGTAATTTCGGTTGTTCTGCATGAGTTAAATGTTTTATATTTGCAGCTAAAACTGGAGTTAGATAAAATAAAGATGAATGATAAAATTCATGCTAATAATTTAAAATTTTAATTTTACTTAGAATAGCATTAACTAGCAAAAACCACCATAACAAGCTGCTAGAGGCCATGGAAGAAAGGAAAAACATTTTAGTACCTTTAATGGGACTGTTTCCTGATTGTGAACCGGAGACCTCACCTCTGTGCTTGCACTGGGCTCATGTCAGCAGTGACTGAGCTGTCCCTGCAAAGCAACTCTCGGGAGTTTGTTTTAAATGGCTGGAGGACAGCAGAGTGACCTCTGCTTTAGAGAAAGGTAATTTTGGCAAAAGCGCAAACATTACAACACAAAACTGGAAGCAAGAAACTTTATTTTAAAAAAAACTGAAAAAAATACGCAGATTTGTGGTGAAGAATATAAAGAACATACAGTTATATTTTCAAGAGTGTCCGTGGAACGTTATAATCATCAAATTAAGGTATCAACATTCTCTAACAAATATTTTGAACTGAGGAAGAACAGTGGCAAGATTCTAATGGGGTGCAGTCCAATAGAATTTTCTGTGGTGATAGAAATGTCCCATTATCTCTGCGCTGTCCATGTGGAATCCACTAGACACATGAATATTCAAAGTGTGGCTATAATGCAAGATACATAATAAGGACAAGGATTTGTAGTATAACTTAGATTTAAATAGCGACATGTGATTAGTGGCTACCAACAGAACATTGCAGTTCTAATGCCTCGTGGTTCTAAACCAGCGGCTTCTTTGGGGCACTCCTCAGTTACTGCTGGGGGGCTGCTGCTGGCAAGAGAGGAACCTCTGAACAGATCTATTTGGCTACTTTAAACAAGATCTAAAATTTTGCACAGCTTCTGGAGGTAGGGGTGGCATGAGAGGAGGACTCTCGGGGAGACCTGAGTATGCCCTTCCAACTCCTGGCTAATTCATGGGAGTAAGAGGCCTGGGGTTTGGTCACTCAGATGGGAGGAGGCCCTCAGGCTTGGGCCCCCCTGGGCATCTGTGCATGGAAATCATTGCTGTGGGGCTGCAGGGAGCTGAGGGAAGGGGACTCATTTCCGCACAGGGTTTCCAGAGGAGGACTTAGGGGTGGGAGGGGTGGAGGGAGGACCCAAGGGCCCTTTCTGGCTGCCTGCAGATGGAACAGGCCCTTTCTTTTTGGGGATTAAGATCTTGTTCTTACTCTTGAACACTTTGCTAGGATCCAGCTTGTTCACAAAGGAGTCAGTCTCTTCAGTGAGCAGGCTCGTGTTGTAGGTGATGGGCTTATACATGTTGAACCATTGCTGGAAGGCAGAATGGAGAGAGGGTCACAATCAAAGGAGAAATGCACTTGTTTATGCTATTCAGTGGGGATACAGGGAAGAGAGCCAGAGAGATGAAGCAAAGAGTAAGGTTTTATGAAAAAGTCCTCGAAATTCTATTAGACTTCCTGTGAACGTGACAACACACACATTGTTCCATGAGGTCTCAGAACCATTCAAGTAAATGCAGTAGGAGGACTACAAATCTGGGTAAATTTTCTTCCTTCTGTTCTAAGCCTAGGATGCTGGGTCTCAAATCCAGGGGACAGAGTCCTACGTGTTCTGCCCTCAAACCAGCCATTGCTCATCAGGTAGGTTTGGCAGGCTCTGTAACGTAAAGGAGGCGCACCCATACTCTGGAATTCTGTCATTGAGGACAGCTCTCTATGTACTGACAAGGAATGAGTTCCAAGACGGAGTGCTAAGTGAAAAGAAGGTACACACAAATGTGAACACCATTTCTGCACTCGTGATTGAGAAAAAAGGAACCAAAACCACATGCATGAGTGTCTTGGTAAGGGCACACGAGAAACTCCAAAAGTGGCTGCCTGTGGGGAGGTGAACTGGAAGCTGGGAACTGGAAAAGTAAGAGGCGACTTTTCCCCTTCCTGTGTGTGTGCCGCCCATCAAAACCCAGAGCGAAGGCCTGATAACATTTGATTAGAGAAAAACTCCCCAGCGATTCTGAGGATCAGCCAATTCGGGAACCACTGACCTAGATTGGTATAAAGTGGGGTGGGATCACCTGCCTCACTTATTGAAAGTGCAGATCTCTGGGCTCCACTCCAGATTCCTCAATCAGACGGGAAAGCTGGGAGTCTGCATTCAGGTCTTTCCTCAGAAGACTCTGATACATTCTACAGTTTGAGTGGACAGGTGGTCCTTACCTTGGCCTGTGGGCTGATGCCATAGCTGGTGAAGGCATACTGCCACTGGGGCAGGCCCAGGTGCGTGAGGAGCAGGCGGTAATAGGCGGTAAAGGTATCTGTGAGGAAATGCCAGTACAGTGCTCTGTCCAGGAACCAGATCTCAGTGTCTTGCGCTAATGCTGAAATAGCAAAGGACAGAAATGAAGGGATAGCTTAACAGTTTTCCTTTTATCCAAAGTCAATATATACTCATGATTTAAAAAAAATTCAAATAGTAAAAGTTCCTTTTTTTCCTTCCAACCTCCCAGTCCCATTCTCCAGTGGCCACCACTGCCGGCTGGTTTCTCGGATTCCTGATCAATGGACGGGGGCTTCTGCCACATGTGCCCCCGGCTATCTCAGCAGCGCTGCTTTTCCGGGTGGAAACAGTATTCCCTTCCCCAGGGGGTACACACGGCAGTCTCAGCTTTCCTGAGGGAGAGGAATCTAAATCACTCTGGCTTTCTGAAGACCTCTGTCAAGAGTTACAGTGCTGTGGGAAGCCACCTTGGACCAGCTCCCTCTCCTGGGAACCTGCCTGTGCTTCCGTGACATCCTGGTTGGGCAGAAGCAGGCACTGTTGTGCCAGGGCACGCCTCGCACCCGCTTCTCACCTGCCACTTTTACAACTGGCTGGCCGTCCTAGTTCATCTCCTGTCTAATGGCTGCCACATCTCCCTAAGTGGCCTCCAGGCTCCTCCTCTTCCCAAACTGCTTATGGTCACGTACATTTTCATGTGAATCCCGCCATTCTCCTGGAGAACGTCCTGGAGGTCCTACTTTCTTCTGTGTTACATCCAAACTCCTCCATCTGGCTTTCAGAACTCCACTCGAAAGGGAACCACCGGCCTCTGGCTTCATCTCCTCTTTATCAACAGGACGAACCATGGGAGTTTGGGGGGAATTCCTTCTCATTCCCCCCAAATCAGTTGCTCTTTCCTATGACATGGCTTTCACTAGTCTCTTTGCTTGGATGCCTCTTTTGCCAGCAAACCCTTTAGCCCCACCCCGTATCTCATTCCTACCCTATGTCAGAGGCAGCTCAAAGGCCTTTCACAAAGATCCCTCAGGTGAAGACCTCTCTCCTTCCCCGAGGTTAGTTAAGTCCTGTGTGTCTTCTCTCCAGACCAGGCGGAGAGCCTGGAAGGAGCCTGGGCCTTGTCCAGCTCTGTTCACAGCCCCCAGGCAGGGCCTGAACTGCTGGTAGCTGCCAGGTAGTAGCCCTGCTCAAGGCCAGAGCCATTTTCTCCTGACTTCCTATCTGTGCTTAAACTGAAGTCTAGTAATTCAGGTTTTTATTGCTGTTAACTGGGCGACATAATGAAGCACTGAAGAAAGACCATGTTTCTCCTAAATGCTTTTCTAACACATGAGCCTGCTGGAGGAGCTATAAATAGAATGAATTCTTCTACTCTTATTCACTTATTACCCTAATCCCATTATTTTGCAATAACGCACAAATGATGATAGCTTAAAAAGACTAGTAATGGGCACAGAGAGGGGTGCTCAGAGAGGTCTTGGCACCTATATGAGGCCGGTGGTATGTCAGGAGATCAGGAAGGAGTGTGCCTTTTGTGTGGTGGCTGTAGAGCAAGGTCAGCCAGGGCTGTCCCCAAACCACAGACCATGCTTGTCAATGATTCCTACCTGGTTTCCCTTTTTTGTAGACGAGGCAAACCTTCCCATTCCCGTTGCAAGGGTCCAGCTCAAATATCACACTGCGAGCGTCAAAGTGGGGCTTCTCTGGCTGGTTCTCACTGGCTGCAAACCCAGAAGGTAATGGTGATGTTCAAACATACTCAACTCAAGCACATACTTATGCATCCAGCTTTGCTCGCATGCAAAAACGGGGTAAAAAGCTTTCTGGCAGACATAGCCTTAAATATTTTCCAGAATTGGACAAATGAATTCTATACTCTAAATACCCAGACCTTATCCATGGTCCAGGCCTTTTGTCTGGGCTCCCTTATCACCAACAGTGCCACGAATCTGGGCGAAGGTGGCAGAAGGAGAATGAACTCAACTTCTTGGGAGTGGGACTCCATAAAGGCAGAGAGATTTAAATGACCTGATGTTGTCCTAACCTTTTTCTTTTCCTCAGGCAACTGCTTTCCCCTTTTTTATAGCATTTTATGATCTTTTGATTAGAATCCCTTTTCTCAGTCTAAAATGTATATAATATTTAATTATATTATTATGTTATAATTAATGCTAGGTCTGGCTTGAATTAGAAATACCTACCTAGAAATCAAGTATTATGAAATAACATAAAAAAAGATATTCTTAGAAATGCAAGCATCAGAAACCTTCTCTTCTGTCACTACAGCTAATATGCAATAAAGATTAGTATTAGTGACAGGGGTGCAGTTTACTAACCTAGGAGAGATTAGATCAAAGTATATAAATATAATATTTACATATCCTGTATAATAAAGAGCTAATATGCTAATTAGACCAAACAGCAGAACAGTTGTCTGAACCTGGGCCTGCAAGGACTGACCGAGGCAGGCGGGGCTATGAGGGCCGAGCCCCTTGCACGAATTTCGTGCATCAGGCCTCTAGTACAGCGGTTCTCAACCTGTGGGTTGCGACCCCTTTGGGGGTCGAACGACCCTTTCACAGGGGTTGCCTAAGACCATCCTGCATATCAGATATTTACATTACGATTCATAACAGTAGCAACATTACAGTTATGAAGTAGCAACGAAAATAATTTTATGGTTGGGTCACATGAGGAACAGTATTTAAAGGGCCAGAAGGTTGAGAACCACTGCTCTAGTACATTGTAAAAGGGAAAGAAGCAGGCTAACTTCTAATTCAGAGCAGAAGTTTGTACCTTCTTGTGTATCGTCCTCCAGGTCAGCCAGAGTTGGTGCATTAGGAAGTGAGTACATAGAAGACTGGTTGAGTTGAGTCAGTTTTGTGATACTATTGATTGCCATGTTGCCCAATGGGATGGTGTGCTCTATGGGAACATTACAAAGAATTACATGGAGGAAAACCTTAGTGACCATGGTTGTTAGTAGGGCTTCTGATTAGGTAACCCAAGCCCACCTACTGTTTGATCCTAGGCCTGAGGAAGCTGATGGAGAGTGGAAAGAAGAGAATCAATGCACAACATGCTCCAAAGCACCAACCTTTCATGTAAAAAAAATCAACCGGGGCCATAGGCGAAGAGTCCCCACTGCACGTGGCAGGGCAGAGCACTGAAGGACAGTTACAAAGGGGATGCTCCAGAGGAACTGAGAAATCTGGGCAGGAGCCCTGTTTGAAGAGCAAAGGACTTAACAATGTTTCTGTCCCTTCTGCCCCTTGCATTAAGTTATACGTACTTTCCAAAGGAGTAGCAGCTTTGTTAATAGACCTGACCCTTCTACCTTCTTGTTATGAGCTTTCACGATGGAAAACATCTCCTGCTCTACTTCATTTTTCCTCATTCAGTGAGAAAACTTAAGATCCGGTCAAGGGCATGTGCGTGGGTTGCGGGCACATCCCCACTAGGAGATGTGCAGGAGGCAGCTGATCGATGTTTCTCTCTCATCGATGTTTCTAACTTTCTATATCTTTCACTTCCTCTCTGTAAAAAATCAATAAAATATATTAAAAAAAAAAAAAAGAGGCTTCTTGCTTGGTTTGTCTTCTGTGATTAGGGTGTAAGTAAGAAATATACACACTGCCCTGGCCTGTGAGGCTCAGTTGGTTGCAGCGTAGTCCCATACACCAACCAAAAGGTGTCAGGTTAGCTTCCCAGTCAGGGCAGGTGTTGGAGGTAAACTGATCAATGTTTCTGTCTCAAAATGATGTCTCAATATCAATGTCTCTCTTTCCCCTATTTGCTCGCTCTCTCAAAAAAAATTCAATTAAAAAAAATACTCAGGCTACATATTTTCCTTATTATATAGAGTCCTTCCAATATAAGATGGTGGACACGGGATGGCACACAAAGACTTTGATCTTTGACTGCTAAAAAATTGGAATGGCTGAGGCAATAAAGCAGCTGGTGTACAGACCATGGAATGAATGTTCAAGAAGAGACCACTAAAGAGGCGGGCATTAGTAGCTGCCTCCACTGGCTTTTCTGTTACTGACTAGCTACCCAGTGGAATGGGTGTGGTAATGGGGATAGAAGATGAGTTGGGAGGATGAAATTAGAGAAGGTACTGTACCAGTGAAGAGGGACTCATTCATAAAAGCATCATGAAATGCTTCTGAGGCAGGCTTGTGAGGGGCTAACTCCATGATGTGGGCCAGGGATTCTGACAGGCAGTCTAGACTTTCCACTCTCTCTATTCTACACCCCAAAGGCCATAGCCATGCTATAAAGGAGGGTTCTGATACTGGTGCCAAGGATGTTTCTAGGCCATTTGAGGAAAGTTTTCTAAGCTAAAAGTTCATGATAAATGCTCAGTAGAGAACTATAAAAAGTGCCTCTTCACATCTGTGAGAGAGAAACACTAAGGCTTTGAGAATCACCAAAAAAGGGCAACTCAAGAGGCAGAGGCAATGAAGGAGGTCAGTTCTGCAGATCTATGCAAGAGGAGGCACTGCATTCGGTGACAGCATGAAGAGGTGAAGGTGCTTCCCAAGGACGAAGTAGAACTGGGGATGTAGTGGAGTCTGGATGCAATACAGGCCTCCTGGGGACGGGAAGTCTGTGCCAAGAATGGGCTGGACTCCAGTGGCTAGATCAGGGTTTCCCAGCCTATGAAAAGTTACTGGAGTCTTCACCTAAATGTGCAGCACTGCCTTTCATGCTACATAGCACCTGTATCTCCGCTGTGAGTTCCCACGAGTTTCCACATCTGCAGCACACAAGTCTGTCCGGGCACATTTAGTGGAGCAGCTGGTGACTCAGCTGAGATGGGGGGCAGAGAAGGAAAGGCTCTGGCCTGAGATCAGAGCCCTGAGGGCTTCATATGCAGGGAGTGAAGGAAGGAGCCCTTTGGTGACCACCAGAGGCTGTCACTGCAGCTCACCCTGAGGAGACTGCTCTGCGAGGAGTCCCCAGAGGCTTTAAATTTGAGCTGGCTTAGGATTTTTGTGGACTGATTATTTTTTCCTCCACCTAATTTCAATAGGAAACTTCTAAAATAAACTTCTAGTTAAGTACTGGCTAGACTCTGACGTGGGAGTTGGGGGTGGAGAAATGACACGTATTTTAGCTTTGGTTACAGCTTCTGGGCACTGCACTTTAGGAGAAGCCATGAAAACCATCCAGATTCAAAGACTCCAAGGTTGTAAAGTCCTCAGAGCTGTTTCATCTACCCTCCCAGGCAGGAGAATGTTCCCCTATAGCCAGGGCTGACTCACCATCCAGCTTCACACTCCATGTCATGTGGAAGCCGTTGGTCACCAGGTAAAAATTCTTGATATCCTCGGGCAGCACGCAGTTATTTTTCTAGAATCATAAGAACAGATAAGGTGATGGCTGGGGAAGAGAGCACAAGGCTGTGCCTCAAGGCAACGGGGGACACTATTTATCGTGGTTCAGATCCCCCCAATAGGAAGACCATGATAATTATCTACAAAACTCTATTCGAGTCCAGGGTCAAAATGGCACCTCAACTCACTTCCTCCCACAGACACCCAAACGTACAGCTACAGATTGAATAACTCCCTTCAAAAGAAATCCAGAAACTAGCTGAATGATTCCTACATGTCAGGCAAACGTGAAAAAACTCACAGAGAACTACGTAGGAAAGGTGACCACAAGCTCACTATAAAACCCACCCTTGGTGCAGTGCCTCATAACTTCCAGGTTCTTCCTGCAGAGCAAAGAGTTTGGATCATACATCTGACACCCCAACTTTTAAGAATGCACCCGAGAGAAGGATGCACTAAAGCATCTAGCTCTGAAAGCCAATGGGTACAAAAGACTCACAAGGCAGTTCTCGAAGGGCTCAGACGGACTCCCAAGGCTATCCTCCCAGGGCCAGTGCAGAACAGACTGAAGTCAGAGCCTTGTGGTGAAGGAGGCCTATAGGCTTATCTTAAAAACTTCTGCCTGAGGAGTAGGCTTCCAATTTAACACACATCTAGATGAGCCAACTGAAGACTCTCCAGGGACCAGGAGGCTGGCGATACCTTAATCTTTCCTTCTGCCTCACTGCAGGTTGCAGGTGTCTCTGGAAAGGAGCCTGTGCATGTCTGACACCCTGGCTTTTTGTAGCTGCTGCTCAGAGGACACACCCTTGGTTGACTGGTGCTGGTGCACAGCCAGACATATTACTGGGTCCCACAGGACTGTAACAAACAGAGTAACAGTTCTTAACTAGCTGTATCGCAAAGCACAGCTCAAAAGCAGCAGAATGAAATGCTCAGCATTTCCTTGAAATAAGCCTATTTGTAGATCTTAAAAGGTACAGCCCGAGGATCAGGCTTATAATTTAACAACATGTAAGATGTAAGGGCCAACTGCAGCCCCCTCTAGAAATGGGGAGGACAGTGGGTGCCATATTCACACTCTCCCTCTACCCCACCCCTGGTCGTTGGTACCTCTGTGAATGGAGGTTGCGCACACATCTGGTGGCCAGCAGGGCTTGTTTTCACAAGGTTAATGGGATAGTAGCAAACAAAGAAACAGTTCTTAACAGACAAGCCTATCTCCCAGTCTTACCCAGAAGAGTATTTCCAAAGTATTTGCATATTTTAAATGCAGCTTTCATTCAGCTGCTTCTAGGTGCTCACTGAAATCCTCCCATTTGGGACACTGATAGATCTTGGCCCACCCTCAACTACTGGGAGCCATAAGGACAAAGTAGGCTGGACAATCATATACATCTGACAGAAAACCAAGAGCTAGGACAGAGTTGAACAATAAGGTTCAAGACTGAAAGAGGTGGCTATTTCATCTAATGCACAGAAACCAACAGAGAGTTGAGAAAATGAAGAAATAGAATATGTTCCAAATGAAAGAACAAGAAAAAACAATAGGAAATGACCTTAATGAAAAGAAGTGATTTACTGATAAGAACTCAAAAATAATGGTCATAAAATGCTCATTGAGTTCAGGAGAACAATACATAAATAAAATGAGAATTTCAACAAACAGAAAATATTAGTACCAAAAAGAAATAACAGAGGTGCAGAGTACAAGTAATAAAATGGGAAAAAAGTATCTATGGAGGGTTTTAAAAGCAGGCTAGATGAAGTGGTAGAAAGGATCAGCAAACTAGAAGACAAGGGTAATGGAACTCATCCAATGAGATCAGACAGAAGAAAAAGAAATAGAAAACACTAAAGATAGTTTAAGGGACTTATGGGACAATATCAAGCAGACCCTTTTGTATTATAGGGGTCCCAGAAGAAGAGATGGACAAAGGGGCAGAAAGCTTATTTGAAGAAATAATGACTGAAACTTCCCTAACCAGGGAAAGGAAACAGACATCTCAATCCAGGAAGCTCAGAATTCCAAAAAAGATGAATCCAAACAGACATTATAATTAAGTTATGAAAAGTTAAAGATAAGGAGAAAATCTTAAAAGCAGCAAGAGAAACAAGAGAACCCCCATTAAGGCCATCAGGAGATTTTTAGGCAGAAACTTGACAGGCCAGAAGAGAGTGGCACAAAATATTCAAAGTGCCAGAGAAAAAACCAACCAAGAACACTCTACTTGGTACAGCTGTCCTTCAGAATTGAAGGAGAATCAAAAGCTTTCCAAAGAAGCAAAAGCTAAAGGTATTCATCACCACTAGATCAGTCTTTCAGTTGAAAGGGCACTAATTAGTAACAGGAAAACATATGAAAGTATAAATCTCATAGGCAAAGGTAAATATATAATTAAATTCAGAATAATCTAATGTCATGGTGCTGGGTTGATCACTTATAAATCTAGTATAAGTGTTAAGACAAAAGTAGTAAAAATAACTATAACTACAGCAGTTTGTTAATGGATACACAAGATAGAGGTATAAATTGAGATTTTTAAAAAAATGTGCGGCAGGGAGGGAGAGTAAAAATAATAACATAGAGCTTTAGAATACATTCAAACTGAAGTTATTATCAACTTAAAATAGACTGTTATAAATTGTTTTATGTAAACCTCATGGTGAACACAAAAAAGCCTATAGTAGATATATAAGAAATAAAGGGAAAGCAATCTAAGCATACCTCTACAGAAAATAATCAAATCACAAATGAAGAGAGCAAAAGAAGAAAAAAAGGACAAAAGAATTATAAAACAACCAGAAATCAATGAACAAAATGGCAGTAAGTCCAAACATAATCAATAATTACTTTAATGTAAATGGATTAAATTCTCCAATAAAAAGACAAAAAGTGCCTGAAAGGATTAAAAAGCTCAGTTTGGCTCCGTGGATAGAGCATCGGCCCTAGGACTGAAGGGTCTCGGGTTCCATTCCAGTCAAGGGGATGTACCTTGGTTGCCAGCTCGGTCCCCGGCCCTCTCTCACATGAATGTTTGTCTCTCTGTCTCTCCCTCTCTCTTCCACTCTCTCTAAAAATCAATGGATTCCCACCAGCAGTGAAGGAGAATTCCTTTTTTCCACATCCTCTCCAGCACTTGTCCTTTGTTGATGACAGCCATTCTGACAGGTGTGAGATGCTACCTCATTGTTGTTTTGATTTGCACATCCTCTGTGCTTTCAGAGAGGGAAAGTATGCACCCAGAATGCCTTTCTCCCTGTCCCCAATCTAGCACAGGAAGCCCACAAAGACCAGTGTCCTGACAAAGTTCATGTGCCTTCTATCACCTCAAAAGGCCAGCTTCTGCTATGATTTTGGTCACTAGAACCATCTAGTGGTGAACACAGGAAATTACTGCCTATGAGCCTTTCCTAACCTGGATTCTATGAGATCCCAGCTGAGAAGGGCTGGTGGCACTGTTAAATTTTAAGTTATGCTGAAGAATTCTAGTAGCAGCGATTATAAAATTTATTATGGCATTCATTTCATGAAGAAGAAAAATTGGCATTTATGCCAATATTTAAAAAATTATTCAGATCATGAAAATAGAAAAAAAAATCAGCGAAATCTAGTATTGAATACATTTCAATACTAATATAAAACACAAAATTGTTGCGGCCAAAGGTAAACTGAGGGGGGAGGGGGGATGAAAGGATTAAGGAAAGACAGATAAGAGAATGAAAGCTGGGTCTCGGTGGGACGCTGCTCCCTGATGAGGAGACAGCGCCAGCGCCCACAAGCTGTGTCTTTATTTTATAGCAGATGCCACGAGGCAAAGTAGGGGCGTGATCACGTTGTTTACAGCATTCTCGTGAGCGCCAACCCTACTCAACTACATGCACCTGAACTCTAGCACAAGGCACGTGGGGCTACGTGTCTGGACCATATGTTCAAGCTTACAACCACAGTCGTTGGCTATAATTGTGCTGGGTGGGCCCTGCCCTCCAGCTGGGACTTGCATTTGGCAATGAGAGGACCCTGACCTTTCATTAGTCCGAGGCTTGAACCTGGCCAAAACACTGTAGCCGCGCCCCATACAAAACGTTAAGTAAGCCAAGTTCATAAGAAACTTAAGCCTGCACTGTTGTTTCCATATAAATCACCGCTGGTTCTGGCTCTGCTGCTTCCTTGCACAGGCCTTACCACCGGGCAGCTGGCTATGGCTGGTCCCGAGTGCACTTCAGGCCCTTCCCTCAGAGTGGGCTGTCAGGGGACCACTTTTAGGTCGCTCCTCTGCCTGGCCAGTAATGCAGGGGTGCTGCCGTTTTCATTTCTCTCCTGTCCAACCTGGAAAGAAACTGCTCTTCTCTGGGGAGCAATCTGCGCATGGCAGGGGACTGCTCCCTATGGTTCATGCCTGGTCTTTATTTTTTGTGGGGTGAAAAGGGAAAGACAACTTGCAGAAAGCGAATGGAAGAGGGGTTATGAGGATTAGAGAGAGGACTTAAGGAGAAAGTCAAGAAAGGAGAATAGTGCTTCCCAGTGTTGAAGTAAGTGTGGCATTGCCACACTACTGCAATCTGTGTGCCCTGATGATGACTCACATAATTCCCCATGTCCTCTTCTCCAAAGGAGGCTGTCTACAATACCTTTTTACTGTCTCATCAGCTGAAGGATCTGAGCCACTCTGGTGTTTGGGGAGCTGTCAGCTTGATTCCCAGAGAGGCATCCTGAGCACTGCCTGCACCTCAAGCGAAGGGCCAGGGGCCATCACTGCCTCCTGCTCACCTTTTCCACTTCTAGGACTCCTATACCTGCTGTTCTCTCCTTTTCAGGGGCCACTTCTCAGGCAAAGGGGCTGGGTAGCAGACGCAGGAACAGGCCGACAAAAGGGCCAGAGCATACAAAGTGGTTTCATGGGTTTTTGTCCACAACGGGCAGGCGCTCCATGAGCCCATCTGCAGCGTTGGCCAGAAAAAGAGTTGCCATCAGGAGGAGCACTGAAATGTGACTGCAAACGTGAGGCAATGAGGACATGTCCATCTGCTGAATTCGGGGAGGACAGCCATGCAGTGGAAGGAAAACCTGGATGGGCTGTGGAGGGATGGGGTGAGATTCCCAGAAGAATTCTCAAATACATTCTTAAACTCCCTCCTGAGGAGAGGAGGAAGGCCTGGTTAGCTGGAACCTTTTTCCTTGGTGAGTGGGGTAAGAAAGTTTGGGGCGAGGGCGGAGTTGCTTCGGACTCAGAGGAGAGGCAGCATACTCATACCCTCTAAAACTGAATGATGAGAAAATCTATAAGTATCGCTTTGTCTGGGGCCCACGTATTGTGAAGCTCTGTAGTGGCAGACATCAGTCAAGAAACCTTCAAAAGAGCTGATAAAAGATCAGGAGGAATGTAATAAACCATGTCAACAAGGCCAGGCTGGCACAGCCACAGACAGCCTCAGCAGCAGCTGGCTCTGCTGAACAGCCAGTAAGAGTTCAACAGGCAGACACTGTTCCGGAATTCCCTTTTCTATTATGGGTTGTGAGTAGAAATGGGAGTGGGGGCTGAGTAAGCGCATGAGAAAGGTTGGGGAGCTGCTGAGCTGAGGTCATGCAGAGAAACATCAACCACAGTACTCAGCTGCCAGGGGAGCTGCTGCTGGCTCAGCCTGGGAGGGGTGAGCCCTGCTTGCAAGGACCAAACATGCACACGTGCACATGAACCCATCTACCCATCACCTGCTTGGCAGCTGGGGACAAGGCTGCCACAGTGTTGTGCACTGGCAGAGGAGCAGTCTGGCAGAGCAGAACGAACAGGCAGGCAACTCTGTGTTCAAATTCAGCCTCTGCCACTTGGTAGCTACATGGCCCAGAACAAACTCCTTAATCTCTATGACCCGCAGTTCCTTCATCTACTAGTATAACAAGGAGCTATCAATACCCATCTTGCAGGGTTACTATGAGGATTAAACGAAATAACTTAAGTGACATGTGTTAGCAGGTACTCATTACACCAGTGGTCGCCAACCTTTTGGACCTCACGAACCACCAGTGGTCTGCGGACCACCAGTTGGCGACCGCTGCATTACATGACAGGGTAATTTCTTGTTCCTTACTCAAATGCATTTGCTGCTATTTAGCCACAATGGCTTCTCCTGACTTCCCAGTTCCCCACTTAAAGTATTTCAATGGCTCCCCTTTACACCCAAGATAAAGAGTGATCTCCTGATGATCTAAGAAATTTTACATGTCCTGGTCCTTGTCAACCTCTCTCCCTTGCTCTCCTGTGCTCCAGCCACATGGACCTCCTTTATGCTCTTGGAAAATAAATCCATCTCGAAGCCTTCAGCAAGGTTGAAAGCCCCTTCTTCCAGAACTCACCTGCCTGGCTAACAGCTCCACATAACTTCTTTGGAAAAAACTTTTCTCACCCTCCAGACTAAGTCAGGCCTCTGACAATGCTCTCTTCACCTCACTTTCAGTGCTCAGTCTGCTTTGTAATGATACCTGCAATGATTTACACTATGTCTCAGTAAGGTAAAGAGGTAAGAAGCTGTGCTCTTTTTATTACCACTGATTCCCCAGGGCTCAGCTCCAAGGACAATGCCTGGCCCATTTTAAAAGCTTTAAACATCTGTTGAATAAATTTAAGTTCTGAGGAGGGTTGGGAAGCACTACTATTAATCTGGTTAGCACTTCTCTACCACACTAACCACGTTCTGCCTGGCATGCGTATTGATATTTACTTTTTCCTTTCCTTGCTGGAGTTTCAGTTTTGCTGTATAGACTCTGAATGTTCCACTGCCTCCACATGACAGGCTCAGAGGCGAGGACCCATGCTGGGAAATAGCACAGAATGGAAGAGAGTGTTAAGTGGACTGAACAGAGAGAAGACAGTTGTGGACTGAGATAAGAATGGTTTCCTGCCCTAACCTTTCCTTCTCAGGAGCACTTAAACTGACCTTCATTGGAAGATGAGAATTTTCTATGATGGTCACCTCTGTCACACCTGGGGATGATTCTGAAAGAGGAAAACAAGAACCTGTAGAGTTGCTACTGGCCGGCTCTCACACATTTCTATAACAGACAGGTGAATGTGCTCAGATCAGAGAAAGTGGACTGCACCTGACTTAAAAATCATGGCCAAAGAGACAGCCAAATTTACACTTAATTGTAGGGTTTCTTTTGTTTGTTTTTGTGGATTTATTATATATACAAGATCATGTCATCTACAAATAGCAATAGTTTATTTCCTTCTTTCCAGTTTGTATGTCTTTATTTTCTTGACTAACTGTCCTGACTAGATTCTCCAATACAATATTGAATAGAAGTGGTAAAAAGGGAATTCTTATTATTTATAATGCTTAGATAGCTTACTTCTAGGTTTTTGAGTGTTTCTTTTTTTAAACTTCTAGTTTTTTGAGTGTTTCTTTTTTTTAAACTAAAACAGTGTTGTATTTTGTCAAGTGCTTTCTCTACACCTACTGACATGATTATGTGTTTTTTGTCATTTATTCTATTAACAAGGTGCACTACATTAATTGATTTTCATATGTTCAATAAGCTGCACATTCCTGGGCTAAGTCACAGTGGGTATATAATATTTTAATGTTAGTGAATTTGGTTTGATAGTATTTTGTTGGGGATTTTTAAATGTTTGGTTTTGGACAGAAATATTGCAGTTGTGAAGTTATTTCATATTTTTAGGAAAGAAATTTGGGGGAGGGGGGTGGTTTGCTTACCACACACCTACCATTGACTTCAGCTACCTGGTTTTAAAAAATCCTCTTAATATATTTTCAAAACAAAATACAAATGTGAAAAAATATAATTGATTTTCAATTTGTGATTAACTTGAAATTATGAGCTTTGATTAAATTTATAAAGAGAATGTTTAATGGGAGGCTAGATTCACTGTACATTCAATTACCAGAGTTGTTTAATTCCTTAGGTAGGTTTAGCTTTGAACTATTACCAATTTGCCAAACATTTGAAATGAGTAATAGAATACATTAAAAGTACAAATAGAATTTAAAATGTTTACAGTCATTTAATTATTCAGGTTTTTTCACTTAAGGGATATTTAGTTAGCTGGACTTAAGTAGATTAAACATTAATCAAAAGAAAACTTATTTACTGAAAAAGTCCTAGATTTATAAAGAGAATAATGAAGCAAGCCTGTAAAATAGCAAGACCTACCTGCCTACCCAGGAGTATAAGATGAAACAGAGCAGAAGTCTACATGAGAATGAGACAGGATATAGGTGGTGGTCATTAGATTTCTCCTTGCCCAGTTCTATAACTTCATTGCTAAAATTTATTAATTCTCCAACCACAGCTTGGTGTTTCATACCTCATTTACGGCTTTAGGCACTGGGAAATACAGTTCCTATCCTCATGAACTTCTATTACAGAAAAGAGACAGACAAATCTAAAAAGCAACCAAATCAATACATAATTCTAAGTAGTGGTAAAGCCATAAGGATTTTAAAAAAAGGTAGGCTAAAGGACAAGAGAGTGATAAGGAAGGGTGTTATATATAATCAGAGAAGGCTTCACGGAGGTGGTGCTATTTCATCACAGATCTGAATGAAATGAGGGAGATTTAGAAAAAGGTAATTTCAGTGACACGTCTCACAAATTGCAAAGCTTAATGTGTTTATGGTACAACACAGCAAAAGCACAGTGAAATCAGAAAGACAGATGAGGGAAACTCACGAGGGACTGACTGTGTCATGGTTCAGTATTTGGATTTCATTGTAAATGTGATGGGAGGACATCCAGTCATGCTATCCAGCGGGCTTAGTCTGCCTTTCTCTTTATCTGGCTAAATCCCATTTGTCTTGCAAAATCCAGCGTCACGCGTGGCAACTATTCCTTAACTCCCAGGTGAGGCCAATCGCCAACTCCTGTGTGCTGCTTCAGAACAATAGATTACCGATCTCCTCTCACACTTCTGGGGCCCTCGTCTTCAGATTTTTTTCACTTGAATGTCTTCAATTCCCCCATCTTTGTAGTCCCAGCAACACAGCGGTGGTTGCTAACCAAAGGTACGCTGAAGGACACGCCCGTTCAGTAGTGCCGGGCGCGGTTGCCTGGGGAGGTGGCTGCAGCGTCCTCCCAGCTCCCTGTCGCCAGAGCGCGATCCAGGGCTTCCAGGACACTGCCTCCGCCAAGAACGCGTCTCGGGAGACCCAAACTCACCAATGTCAGGAGTCTGCTGCTCCCGTGCACGTCTTTGCCCACCTTTGCAGGGCCTGCGGGACGACCTCGAGTGCGAGAACCTCCGGGCTTCCCAATTCTGCATCCCTACACCCCCTGCAAAGCTCGCCCTTTCCTCCTTAACAACGGTAGCCCCCGCAGCGATGCCCCCCGACGTGCCAGGTGGTGCCGCCACTGTGCCCCAGCC